TAAAGTGTTTTTTCTAGTTACTTGTATCAACGTTCAAATTCCCTTTGTTCTCGCATCATTGTACTTGATGTATGGACGTAAATAACATGGCTAGCTGACATGCGCAAACTGTCCCTTAAGAGATTCCCGTTAATAACATTACCCTCGCCAAACAATGGTAGTTAATGTGGATGCCTAATCACCCACGAATATACACAAGGGTGGCGCCTCATGTAATCAATTATGTTTACACATTAAGTTATTGTCGACGATAAAGCTTGTGGAAGACACTACAGTTCATCAAATGCTGAGCATCGCAGATTAGTAACTTCAGTAGGGAAATAGGTGTTCAATAAAGTTTGCCAGGGGAAAGCTGCTTTTGACGAAGAGAGCTAGATCAATGCTGGCAATGAAAAATATCCAACGATTTGAGCAAATAGCTAATAACTTGTCAAAACAAATGCCCAAGCAACATAATGGATAATACTTTTGTTAATTGCATGCAAATTGTTAGCGCTATGGAAAAGGTTTCAAAAAGTAAACAGATTTGGAAGCCTGCAGATTTAACTGTCTAGCATGCACAAGAAAAACAGTCTGCACAGAAATACAAGCTCCATGCGGATTGCTCGAGCAGCCCAGGTGCGTCTAGACGAGATAAGCGACAAAATAGAGCGAGACAAACAGAAAAGCATCAAATCAAATTATCATGAGAAAGTTAAAATATGGAATGAGCTCAAATCGATTCATCGCGTGTTCGAACCACTCTACGTTATCAAAGAAAATCAAGCAAAACTTGCAAGAAACCAGCCTGATCTCTCAAAACTGGACTCAAAAAATCGTGCGCATGAAAGCGATGGGATGCGAAAAGATGGGACTGTGTCTTTAAAATACCAGCCTAGATTGTTGCAAAGAGCTGAAACTCAGAGTAACGTGACAAAACCAAGACGAAGACATACTGAACCCAAAATAGAAGCATTGGAGGGATGGAAAGCCAAACCCGTTAACTCCACGAGTCAGGATACTGCAGCGGGTTCCACGCAGTTTAAGTGGAGGTCGCAGAGTTGGTCTTTCCAAGGGTCGTCGAAAATCGAGGCAGAATGCCCACGTTTGGCACTACCTCAGAGAACCGAGAGAGAACACAATTCCAAACTCCGCAGCGCTTCAGAGGAGCCTCGCATTTCTAACTCAATGTGCACAATCGCATTGGGATATATGGCTTTCAAACGCGTTTTGAAAAACAAGAAATTGTCCCAAGGATTGGAACCCAAAGTTGTTGATTCCAGATTCAGGTCGATGTCAATGCATGAGACAGAACTCAGTGCAAACTCGCGGCTGGTCATGCCTGAACACTCAGAGGCAATTAATGAAAAAGAGGACACTTTGAAATTACTATTTCCAGCCACAGAGAAAACTGTTAATCCACACTTAATTAAAAAAGATAACAATGGGCGAAAACCCAATTCTAAAAGGCGTGCTTCGACTTGCGTCAACAATAGACGACAACTTATTTCATCGCTATCCTGGCCGTTAGGCGAGTTACCTGTGAACCCTACAGGAGTGCAGAAAAGCTTATTAAGCCCTGATCATATTCCAAATGCACACAGCCCAAATGTCTCTCGCTCACGCTCTGAGATGTCTGTCAGAAGTTTGCCACAAGCATTGAAAACGGAACGAGTTAAAACGGGGAAAGCTTCTGGCTCAACTGAACAGGAGCACTCAAGCGAGAGTGACGAAGAAATCAAGTTCGGAACATTTCATGAATATTTTGGTGAAAAACCCATGCATAGCTGGCTGAAGAAACCGCTTAAACGAGGGTCAAAATTGCTAAAACCAGTGGGAAGTGGTTGTTTTAGTGAAAGTTTTCAGGCTTTAACTCACAGCAAAACATGAAATATTGTTTTTCGTTTTTGTCGCAGTGGTAATGGACTTGAAAGGTGTACAGATAAAAAATATCCTCTGTTATACAATAAATGCTTAAGAAAGATACTAAATAGAGATTTTCTTAACCCAGGATTGGGGCAACTCTGAATAAATGATAAAAACCAGTTACTAACAACAAAACACTAAAAATACCCGGAAACGTCGAAGTGTCTAAAATCTGGCATTAGCCACCTTCACTTCGGTAACTAGCTGATATACAAACACACACACGCACACA